TCCAGGCAAGAGCCTGGAAGTTTCCCTGTAGGGAAACAGGCTGGAGGTCCGGGACGGGCCCTGCAGGGCCCGTGTGGCTGCACAGTATGCCACACTGGATGTGCCAACGGTAAGCATGCCCATCGACTGCGGTATAGAGCTCCGGGCCTGGGAGGTTGACTGCTCGAGAGTTGTGAAATTCTCTGGGGAATCAGTATTCTGTTTGCGAGTGGTAATGTGATAGTAGTGGTACAGGTCATTCCTTTTGTGCCTCTCAATCCTGTTTTTTTTTTGAGGATTGCACTGGTCTGCCGAGAGGCTGTTAGATTTCTGAGCCCCAGGGCCTGAGAGGTTGACTGCTTGAGAGTTGTGAAAGTCTCTGGGGAATCAGTATTCTGTTTGCGATTGGTAATGTGATAGGAGTGCTAGAGCTCATTCTCTTTGTGCCTCTCAATCCTGGTCTTTTTTAGGATTGCAGTGGTCTGCCGAGAGGCTGTTAGATTTCTGAGCCCCAGCTCTGCCTTGCTGAGACGAACTTAATGCGGTGCAGGAGCGGGACGACCAGGAAGTCTGAATCCAAGTCAAGCGAGCAAAGGTCCAGGTAGGCAACACTTTTGCCAGCTTTGTTCTACTATGGTGCTGTCTCTCACAGAGTTCCTGCCTTGGTTGCTTCTTTCTTGTGTTCTCTGAGATTCATTTGCCTGCTCCCTATTGTTGCTATTTTTGTGTGTGCATGGTATCTTAAGTGTCCATGGATTACAGGTCTACCTCCCTTTGAGTGGGTGGGCGGGATTTGAAAGCAGAACTATTTTTCTTACATTTCCTTGGCTTCGAAACCCATTCCTTCTGTGTGTGTGTGTGTGGGGGGGGGGGGGGGGGGGGGGGGGGGGGGGGGGGAAGGGGAGAAGCAGGACAGTAAGCGTTTCCAATGGGCTCCAGTAGGATGAAATGAATTTTTCGCCATGGATTGGTGTAATGTGAAAGTTCGTGATGATATGAGTTAATGCCCAGGGTAGGTTGGGGTTGGTGGGTGAGGCTATTGTGTGCCATAATCTGCGACGACGACCCCTCCTGAACTGCATAAGAAAAGGATTCCAGTTAGCGACTTGTGTGGCCGCTTGCATGAGTCAGTGGTTTTCCTTGCCGTCAAACAACCAGTACACCTGGGCCTGGAGTCGCTGCACTGCGCGCGGCGCGCTTCTTTTCTTTTTTGGCTGGTGTGGGTAGCCATTGTGGTCCTGTAGGCCCGTGCTGTGAAATTTTCGGAGGCGGCAAACAAATTCTGCAATGCTGGTTCCGTGTACTGGTGATTTAATCACTTCAGGTGTGTCATTACCACCAAAAACGATGGAACGGGCTTATGTCATAGGTGCGAATTCGACTTTCATGTTGTTGTCGCTTATTTGGAGTGACCTTGTCTGCTAAATGAGTAGATCATGTGGCGACCATGATTGCTGTTACTCTAGTTCTCAATTCGGCGAAGTTGTTGCATCAAGACATCATGCGGAGTTGTGCTGCTGTTTTGGGCTTTGCTGACAAACTCCAGTGTTCTTACAGATAATCCTTTAGCTGTGTGTTCAGGATAACTGTTCTGGTCCCATTAGAAGAAGACATTGTTGTGGTTATCATTTTGTTTGCCTTTAAAGCTGATGCCCACAGATGTTCAGACTTTCTCAAATAAAGGAACGCAGGTAAGTCACCCAAGAACCTGTGGTGGTGGTGTTGGTTATTCAGGTCTTCATCGCCGGCAAGTGATGACAGGAGCTCCAGAAGTGTGTCTCGTTCACAGTCACCCAGCTCTTCACCTCGGAAGTACATCTCTCCACCTCGGCGGCGAAGAGCGTGGTCCCCTCCTCGGCGGCGGCGATCACCATACTTCTCGCGCTCACCACCCCGTCGAAGACGATATGAAGATGCAGACCGCTCTCCACCTCGGCGTAGGCGTTCACCATACAGATCTCCTCTGCGTTGGCGTCGGTATCCTCCAAGATCTCCGCCTAGACGTTATCGGTCACCTGCATTCTCTGAGTCACCTCCACGGCGTGCTCGTCCTCCCAGGTCCCCTCCACGGATGCGATACTCACCTGCTCGTCGCCCGCGTTCTCCTTACCACTCGCCTTACCATTCTCCTTACCACTGTCCTCCGTCACCGTCAGTCTCCCCGTCACCGCCACCCAGAAGACAGCCAGTGTATCACTCTCCTGGCCCATCTTTATCGCCTCGACACACATCATCATCTGCTTTATCCCAATCTCCTGTTCCGAGAAAAGGGTTGTCACCTAGCCGGTCACCTTCCCCTGCTCCGGTTCGACGCAACCGTGCCAATCCTCTGCCGCTGTTGCCACCAGTGGAGCGGAGAGTGCGAAGGAGCCCAGTTCGTTCTCCTTCACCAAGTTATCATTCTGAGGAGGAGTCAGGATCCCCGCTTCCCTTGCAGCATGAGGGATCATTGAGCCCATCACAGTCTCCATCACCCATGAGGAGGTACATCTCGTGAATGCCCATTTAGCTTATTTGACTTTTCAACGCTCGTCAATGTTGTATTTTCTATGTGCATTTGCTGTCCTCCATGAGAAGGCGGAGAGCCAATTCCTGCTTGGCAGCAAACATTGGGTGTCCATGGAAGGCAACTCTGGAACATGAAAAATTTGTCTAGTGTGCAGTGGTTGATGTTGCAGGCAACTCTACGAGGGAACGGGGAGATGTGAAAGGGGTCCATGATGGGCAGTGATAATTCCTCAGGAATTCGAGGGAATGCCTAGATAAGAGATTCCAGGGGTTGATGGGCAGTGGAAGGTTGTGTTTCTCGTGAGTAATAGAAAATGAAACCTGTGGTATCAGTATTGCCAGCTTGAGCATTTCAAACCAATCGTCAGCTCACAATGTTGGGGTTGAGCCAAACGATCGTGCACTGGGATCCTACCCTGCGAAGTCAGGAGAGAGAGAGAAAGAATTCGGGTGGTTCTTTTTTCTGCTTTTTCTCCTTTTCACTTTAATAGTAGTATGTTAATGCGGGTGATTCTTGAGCTTTGCATCTTGCTTTTATCCAAATGGTGAGGTCTTATTGGCAGCAACTTTGAGCTCGAGACTTTTTGGAATTCTCATTAAATCAAATATCTGATTCTAAATTCCATTTCCAAAGAATCGAAGACGAACTCCTAAACGCGTTGCGCTGCGCGCCGATAAACCGTAACGCTGTATGCTGATAACCGTGTTTTTCTTTCGCTGCTGGCCTTTGGATGCTGGGATCGGCGGCTCATTTCTGTTGCAGTGGAGTGTTTTTGTAAAAATTTGTCCCGTCCTGTGTACTTGACACGTATCATTGTGCCGGAAACGTGGCTTTGGGTCGTTGATTTTTGCGTATCGAACGATCATTGCTTGAAACACGGCGGGTTCGGTGTTGTACTATGTCAGAAGGGAGTTCTTCTTTCGTTTCACTGTGGTACCGCCATTTAGTTTTTGGGATTTGAACCTTGGATCTGTCAATTGTACGTGAGGATGACGTCAGTATTTTTTTTTGTTTTGCTTCCCTGTGTGCCAGAAGAGCTATGCGCTTTTGTTGTCGTTTTCCGTTGGTTGTCACGCCTGTTGCTTCGTAATGGAAAGTCACGTGGAAAAAAAGGTCACGCGGAGTGCGGAGGGCTTCGTTCTGGAAAGTCACGCAGGAAAAAAGGTCACGCGGAGTGCGGAGGGTGGCGGCCCACAGAAACTGGTGTCGAAAAAAAAAAGGAAAATAAATGAAAATAAAAAAGTAAGTGTCGCCGCCGGTTTTGTTTCGTGCATTGCGGACCGTGTTTTTCCTTCGTTCGAAGAGGGGGACGACCTTTTTGAGAAGTCATCCTCGAAATTACCGGCCGAGGAGGTATCCGGTTCTGGATTCAAACTTCAGCCTCGACATGACTGGCCGAGGACGTATGCGGTATCCGGTTCCGGCTCGGCTTTCGAGAAATCATCCTCGTTGAAATGAATCTTTGAATAGAGCCTGTTAAGACCCCTTATGTAACATATCAGAAAGTGAAATGCACTGAAAGCCTAGGATCTAGCAATGACGAAAGTGGCAACAACCAGCAGCATAGGTGCAACATTCACAAGGTGTCAATGTGCGCGACGCAAAGAGTGAAACAACGGGAAATCAATAACAACACA